TATACTATTATTCATAGAACATTCAGTAAAAAGAGAAGAAAAGGAAAGTATTTCTTCTCTCCTTCTCTTCCTCTCTGTCAGAGAGTTGGGGAGGAAGGGAGCTTAGTAGTCAGTAATGACCAGTGAGAACTGATCAGTTGTTTTTACAGAAAAGTGCCCTGGCCACGCGCTGCTCCTTCCCCCTGCTGCTCAAGTGTGCAAAGATGAGCACAGTCCCTGCCTCTTTGTTTCTGGCATCTGGGCTACAAGGATGAGGGATTTTAAAGGCTGGAAGCAGCCAGGGTCTCTGTCATATCTTTCTCTATGTTCTCCACTCCCCTGTTCGGACCTTCATGAGTCTCCCTTTTAAAAGGAGACACAGCAGTGACCTGTGCCAGCAGGTCTCAGGCATCTGCCCTGCTCGACAGCACAGCTTTTGTTTCTCCAAACACTGAAAACTACAATAAGGAAACTATTTTCAAATTGCTGGTAAGGGCTGGTGACTGCCTAGCTTTTGCCTAGACATTGGATTAACCTTTATTAAAGGATCAACATATTCTAGCTCTAAAGCATTTGACAATGCAATTTAACAGGTGCATATCGCAAACTAACTTGAGAAGCGGGGTCATACCCCAAATCTCAAAAAGCATGAAAAGGCTGATTAGTTCCTGACGGTGATCTCTTTACTTCGTACCTTTACTAACATAAAAAAAAAAAATGCTCCATCAAATCAGGCTTACCAGACGTCTCACTTACATGTATTAGGGCACTGGTATCTTAAAAATAAGAAGTTAGTCTCCTTTTAAAACCAATCCCACCTCTGTGGACAGTAAATATTTATGTTCCTTTCTCTCCTGAGAGAACAGGTAAGTACGTTATAGTCGGGGGAGGGGAGGGAAAGGGAAACAGTCTAGTTCCTGATGAAGAAATAGGGAATCTAGTACATATTGGGGTTGTTTATTGTGTGAAACTGGTTGATGCAGAATTTCTGAAAATAAAATAATTTTCATTCTCAGTAAAGGAAATATGTGGCTTACATGCTTATAAACGAATGTAATGGATAGGGGACTGAACTGTATTTTAGGGGATCATGTACTCAGCTTATGACATCATAATATAACGGTATATAACTAATCTTGTGTAAATTATAAGACTTTAAATAGAACCTTCATGTTAGGATTTATAAAATAAAGGATATATAAAATAAAATATTTTCTCTAATTCTCTGATTTGTGCCCCTTATATAATTGCTACCTGTGGGCAACTGATGCCCACTTCTGAACAAATATGTATATGATTTTATAAATTGGCTCTAATATAACCTAGGACAGGAACTATCACAGGCATATGTCACTTCTCAGCATTTTACTGCAATTCAGAAAATAGTCTATGGGCTTAGCCACAGTTGCACAATTCTGTACATTTTTAGATCAAAGTTTTAACAGATTTTGAGATGTGTAAAAGCGCAAAAAAGCAATAAACAAGCAGTTGTGAAAAGGATCATAGTTGGTGGACTCAAAACTTTTTATGTAGATGAAACATAGGAAATTTAGTTCTTCACATTAATCTTTCAGTGTGCTCAAAGTAATAAAATACTCTGCAGTCTCACATTACTTATCCTCGTATCTGGTATATTTCCAGAAAAGCTTTTTCATAATTTAATGAAAATAAGTAGGTGATATACATGTCTAAAATTAAAAAAAAAAAAAAGTTTCTATTTTCCTTCTCTGATTTGCTCCCCGTCCAAAAGAACGATTAAGTGGTTGTTGACATGGAGAAGGTTGAAAGCCAATCACTAATTTGGAGTCACAAGCCACAATAATGTGAAAAGATTGAATAAATAAAAGTCCTGAGCCACTTCAGAATCTGAAGCTGGAACGCTGCCCCAGAGCCACCACCTTGTTAAAATGCCATTTGTCAGAGTTTTCAGATTGCCTGTTACTTGATGTCAGGGTGGTCGCAGAATCTTTCATAGTTAATGTACATGAGATTCTACAATTTTTTTTCTGTAACGTGGTCAAAAAAATCTTTTATATAATAAACCAATGCCAAGTAGAAATATATGTGCACGTTTTACTTCAGAATACTTTAAATCTGGCATGATTGAACACATTCACTTAAAATATCTTGGCATATGGTACTAGGTAAATTTGGCAAATTTTGAGATGACCCATTTTGTTTCCTGAAATTTTAAATATTTTTTAAGACATTCACCATACTTATTTTATTTGAAAGGTAAACTGCTCCCACTGGATGGCGTGTCCTCACGCTCTTCCCTGAATAGCATATAAAGCATCTTTTGGACACTCGGGATTACTTTGTAAGATTGACACTGGCTAATTTTACATATATTTCTACATTCCATTCACGTCTGTCTTTCCACATGGTTTTCTAAGCCTCTACTCACATTTTAGCCACTACTTCAGAGTTCAGGGATTGTCATCATTTATGCCTGACTTTTCTCCTGCTTAGATGAGACGCATGGACAATTGAAGGATGTGTGAGTGAACGTCAAAGGTGGTAAACCGAGAAACACACACGCCCTTCTGGGTGGCTGCAGCTGTCCACCTCCTAACACAGCCAGGCTCCCTTCAGGTACTGGTGAAAGGAAGGCAGAAAGGATTTGAGAATTTCCTTCCTTACCAGGTTTTCCCTGGAAAAGCAAATGACTGCCTCCGTAACGAAACTCACATCTCATTCACATCATTTCTTCCTTTTCCTTCTTTTATTCAAGTTTGTTGAAACACTGCCATCCATCCCCTCTTACTGTGTATCCCCAGGGCAGGAATGTATTGTATAGTAAAGAATTGGTTTCAGGCTCTTTTGTGTTTTTTGATTATTGTGGCTTGATATTCTTTCTGTTGAACTCTCCATTACCATTGGGAGTGTCAGTATCCTAAATTATTAATACAAATAAAGCACTTGTTGTACAGCAACATGACACTACACCTTTGAAGATAAACTCATATTGTAATTAAATAAGCAGACATCACTTACTGTATGAGCTTGATGGACTCAGATGGCTTGAAACCCGACTGTGTGACGGGGGCCTCACCAATGTCCACGCGGTTTTGCAGACTTTTATTCACTCACTTACTGAATAAATATCTCCTGGACAATTTCCACATTCCAAATGCTAAACTACGTACTGTAAGAAATAACCTAATCACGGGGACATCCCTCAAATCTATCTGCTTATAGACAAACACAGTGTGTGGAGAATAACCCAAGAAGTAAAGCCTCTTTAATAGAAGATCATTTAAGTGCACCTCTTTTAACCTAAAAATAGTAGATAGTTTTGTTTTATGCTCCATGAGATGATCTCTAGGATAACTCAGTCTTAAAGCAGAAAGAGATTTTATAATGGGGTTTTAGTATAGGTTATTTATCATCCTTCCCAAAATCTAAATTAGTGAATCATGAAAAAGAAGTACTCTCAGTGGATTTTGTCTCCTATCTTGGCCTGACATGGTGACTTAAACTGATTATTCCAGAGTAACCTAGGCCAGTGTGCATATTAATATATTGGAGATATTATACTTGTTAGAGTTAATTCTTCCCCCAAATACTAACTACAAAGAAAAATGCAGTTATTATAAGTATTACATAAATAAATCTCAAAATTAAAAAAACAAAAGCATTGAAATAAACTGAAAATTAAAAATTTTCACAAGAAAACATTAATGTGCACAGCAAATGTGCCAAAGAACGTGACAAGTATTTGTTTAGGCTTAACGTAAAGGATCGTCATGTTCACTGCCAGGACTTCTTTAAAAAATGCAACTATCAGAACTTCATGCGGTGATCTACTTGTACTATAAAAATGTCAAACTTAGCTACGGAGGTTTGTATTTATACAGATTGGAGGAAAACTATTTTAATAATAAATATTTCATTAGAGTTACTTTGAGGAGAAGATAGAGAAAGAGTTGAGAGTCAATATATTAATTTTCTTATCTTATAAATAGGCCCCAAACTAAGTCTTCATTGAACCTTCACAGTCTTTATTTGTTTTAGAATCAAAATTGGTATTTAAAGATCCAAAAGACTGGATCCTTCGGTAGAATCCTTTAGGTGGAAAAAAATCAAGGGAAATAATCAGAGTGCCTGGATTCAATGCTCAAAGCAGTCCCTGAACGGCATTCTGAAAACTATCTCTTCCCCTAATCTCCTAGTTGAGTTTTGTGAATCTGCTTCAGGCTCCCAGGAAATCGAAATGTGCAAAATGCATTCAAAAGAAAGAACGATTAGCAATTTGGGTAGTTATAATCTCTGCCATTTCTCAAACAGATGGACCAGCTCTTCTTTAGACAAAGAATAAACCTCATTTACCAACTCAACCAAAACTTGACCTTTGTAAGACGAGGAGCTAATTGGTTAATTTGAACGTTTAAATAACATCAGTATCAAGGAATATTATGGATACATCATACATTTTTTCACCTTAATCAAACTTTTTTTTTTAAATGCAAAGGAGAAAAAGTGACAGAGGAAAATGAGAGAGAGAGAGAGAGAGAGAATAAAGAAGGACGCAGAGGGTCAGCGTCTTGAACAAACACCAACCAGTGCCCCTCGTCTCTGACGAGACCTGCGTCTGAATTCCCCGGGTATTTAGTGTACTGGAATATTTACTATGTCTGCCCCCCAATAGACCAAGATTATTTATAAAATATGTTTCCATCACATAATTAATCACATATTCAGCTACAAATGGCCCAAAACACTAGACTGTTATTAACATACTTTCTTTGTGTTTCAATACTTTTGGCACATAAGGGATTATCTGGGCTTTTCAGATCATTTAGCTTTATATCAAAAATCCCACTTCACTGCACAGATAGTGGCACGGCAGAGATGTCTAAATTCACAGTAAGGTTTGGGGTATTTGTTGCCAAAAGCTGTAAACATGCAAGTGGATTCAGTGTTTTCCTTTATGTTCCTGTCTGTATCACTTCATGAGATAATGAGACGGGCTGCCCTTTCTGTCCATCACTAGAGCAGCTGGAGACAGCGTTTGCTACCTGGCAAAACTTCCGAAGAAGGATCTTTCTTAACAGCAGATAGACCCAGGGATCCAAGATCTGGTTCAGGGAAGCCAGGCGAATGGCTATTAAGAAGAAGCTGCACTCCCTGTGCTTCTCCGTGTGCATCTTGCAGTGCTCGACGGACGTCTGGCTGAAGATCATCTTCAGCATCATTATCTGTGAGAGAGGGACAGACAATTGTTCCCAAGGTTACTGAGGTCATAAGCATCTCTCCTCTGCTCTACTTCACACACAGTGGGTACTCAGTAAGTTGGTTGGAGGATGGAAATGATTGACTCAAGCAACATTTACACTCAGGACGTAGCCCGGAGTGACGCGAGACATGCTTAGGGATTTTCCCACATTTGAGTCTGTGACATACGATGTGATGTAGCTTTTTATAACACACATATTCTCAGGCTTTCAGTCTTCGTAATATAAGGAATTTGAAAAGAACACATCTCAAAATTAGCCAACGTCATCTATCTTGCTTGTAACAGAAAACACCAGGAGTTTGGCACCACATGAGAGCTGACACTTTTAATAACAACCAAAACATGTTTAATCTGAAACTTCCTAACAAAAGTACTGCTGAAAAAAAAGGAGAAGCAGGAAAGAGGGAAATAATAATAATAACAATAAAAATACTGCCATTGTTGTTATTTCCGTTGGCGTGTTCTGAATTCTTTCCATTGATGAGGTGCTGCACCAAGTTCTTCACACGTATTTAATAAACAGCATCAGACAGGCACTACCACACCTCCTTTTTACAATTGCAGAAGCCACTGTTTCATGATGTGAGTTGGCTGAGCTGGAATTAAAGCCAAGTTCACGAACAACATGTGCGGGAATGTAAGCTCCATGACGGCAGGGATTGGGGACTATTTTTTCCCCATTTGTATATTCCCAGAACAGTGGATAGTAAGTGCTCGATGAATACTCAGGATGAACAAATATTTATATTTGAGGAAATTTAGCCTATGACAGATATATAAATATAGTTATATTTATGTTTGAATAAATATTTGTAATTTTCACAGAAGAGGAAAAAATGAACGTTCTTATGCATAGGAAAAAAGTTCAAACTTATTAACCATCAGAAAACATGGAAACTACAACCAATTAAGAAGCCATTTTACACCCACCAGAGTGACCAAAATAAAAAATGTGACTACACCATGTGTTAGCGAGGATGTGGGACTGTGAGGACCTTTCACATGTCACCAGTGGGGAGTGTGAGCCGGGGCAACCACCTCAGCAAACAGTTCAGCACTACTGTTTCATCCACTGCCTCTCAGCAAGAGTACTCCTAGCAACACTCCGTCCAGGTTTCTGTGTCAGGGGTTGTATACGTGTAAGACTGTTCCCAGGAGCATTGTTCATAGCAGCAGAAAAGCATGAACAACCCAAGCATGGGTTGACATTCACACAGAAAAGAGCTGACTTTGTAACTGGCTCCAAAATGAACCTTTCAGACCTACCCAGCTACTGAGCACCGGAAACGTGGCCAGAGCACATGGAGAGGTCAGAACATGTAACATGAGTTATTGATGGAATGAGAATACTCAGAAATATTTTGTTAAATAAAACATTTTATTCACATTAATATCGCTTATTTATTTTTACTTTTTAATGTGGCTACTAGAAAACTTAAAATTATACATGTGTTTTGTTTATTTTTCTCACAGCTTATTCCTGTTGAACCTCCTCTCTTGGGGCTCAC